GGTTTAGCGGGTATGTACTCGGGAGAGCGCTCCTTGGAAGAGGGATCGGGCGTTAGATTTTTCAGGGTTGAGGGATTAGGCTGAAGAGTTGAGCTTGCAGGTTTTCGGGCTGTCACCTTGCATGGGGGATTCGGAGGCGTGTTGAGGAGTGAGTACGTTTTCGGGCAAGTGGCCCAGGGATGCAGGTTAAGGATTGGGTTTGGCTAGCATGTTGAATGTGATTATGAGTGGTCGGTGAGATCCAAGCCGATGGAAGTGACTCACGCATTCAAGAGTGAGAGGGGCGATCCCTAGATTGTGCATGGTGAAGCAGAGCTGGGTCCCATGCCGTTCATCCTGTCATGGCGGTGGATTGCTGCAAGATTAGATGTAGCAAGTGTAATTGGGGTAGTGACGGAGAGGCAGAGCCTCCAAAGCCTCAGACAAACCATGTTGAAGAAAGTGCTCTGCCTGCTTGGTGTTTGGCAATAGGACCAGACCTCGCAGCAGTGGGTGCTGACGACCACGGATGGACGCAATGCTGCAGAAAGCCTCGTGATGGTTCAGGCTTTACAAGCTCTTGCAAGCTGTCTGACATTGTGCTGATGTCGACTCAGGAAACAACGTGCCTTTGACAGCGGCTGACGGCGTAGAGCTGCAAGTCCAGGACGTGGGGAACAGCGAGCTTTGGATCAGAGTGAGGATGGTGGTCACAATTGTAGCTGGTGGTGATGGTTGGAGGAGGAAAGGGAGCAGCCCAGCATTACATTCAAAGCTGTATAGCAAAGGAAGCAATCGCAACCCTCGTGGTAGGTGGAGTGCTTCTATCGCAGTTCCAATCCCTAAAATGTTCTTCGCGGCAAGCGGTGCGAAGCCGCAACGTGCGGCCTGCGAGCCATGCGCTGAGCCTTGAATATCGACAGCAATCACAGAAAACAGCTGAAGTCAGATCTCCTTACGACCCTAAAACCCTAAACCTTTTGTCCCCCATAATCACTTTAAAGGGAACCCCTAAACCACAGCGTTAAAGTTCGGCACCCATGGATTTTGTGAAGGACTTCGTGGAAGTGCTAGGCTGCAAGACCTCGGAGGGGCTGCATGCGCAGAGCTTCTCAAAGTTTCCAGGCGGTTTAGGGTTTAGGGGTTGCCTTGTTGTCTACTTGCGGGTACTATAGGGGTTATATAGGGATGATGGCAAACAAAATGGAAACCATCGTTTAGGGTTTGCCAAAACTAGAGCTACCTTTTCTGGGGGTCCCCCTAAACAGACTATAGCATTTTGGGATCTACATTGGGGTCCCTAGAAGGTCGTGCCTGCATTGGTATAACAGAGGTCCAAGACTATGAACTGCCGCTGCAGGTCTCTACAGGCCCAGGTTTGAACAGCCTCAACTTGTGCTGGATTTGTTGCAAGCACCTGTTCACTTTTTGCTGGTGCTCAAATCATCCAGGTGGCGACGTGGATGCCGAGCTTTGGGAGAAGGCAGTCGAGCTGGCCAACAAACCCCAGGACGGAGCTCCGGGGCTTGGGTGCTGAGGACTTGCAGTTCGAGTGTTTGTATACCTCCCATGCAAGGCTCAACTGATGCCACATATGTTGTAAATCAGTTTGTTGCGAAAGCAGCTCCTTTTGCAGGTGCGCCATCTGTTCCAGCCGGCCTGAGACACGCGGCCTAAGAGCCTACTTGCCTGGCCTGCAGGCTTGCTAGTCTGGAGTTTAGGGGGATCTCTAAATTATGGAGCCTTTTGGCGTAACTCTGCTTCCTGTGTAGGCGGGTAAGCTTGTATTTTGAAGGGGCATCATGGCAAAGGACCTAGGCACCGAATACTTACACAGATCACCCAGATGCAAGCGCAGGGTGCAGTCTTGATGGGAAGAGCCCAGAAGCTCGAACGCAACTAACAAGCAGCCTGGTGAATCAGCCGGGGAAATCAGGATGGGCCATCAGCGCATTCTGTCCAGTCTGGATTTGCAAGCCAGACTTTCACATTGCATTTCCAAAGTTTGGGGTTTAAAGAAGAGTTGGGGGTGTGCTGTAGGCCTCCTGCTTGGTTAATGTGTTGCTCCATGCGCTTAATTCCGGGCTTCTGAAAAACAGCTACCTTGAAGTCCTTTCTTTGGGTGCTACATGCTAGGAATGAGACTTATTCCCATGACCTGACTAGCAGCCTTTCACATCGTTCCTGTGAAAGCCGGTCTCATTCCTCGTCTAGACCACTGGTCATGACTTCTTTCCGGCGCACAGTTCATAATTAGTATTATTGTTATTATGAATATTGTTGTTGTTATTGTTACTATAGCTGATGTTGTTGTTACTATTATCGTTGCTATTAGTATCGTTGTAATTGTAGTTCCGCCTGGGCTCTGTATACAGAAGTCCCTCGCATGTGGTGAGTGAGGCCCATCCTGGTAAGCGCAGGTAGCCAGTGGACAGGCGAGTGCGTGTGGCTGATTGCCAGACGGTGGTTGCAGACAGAACGGCGCGACAAAAGCTTGGCTGAGGGACTGCCAGCAAGGCCTCCGAATTTCTGCTTCAAAGTGACCTATATCCCAGTGGGTACAGTTCCATTCCTCTCTTATATACAATATACATATGTGCATATTCACACACATATATATATACATGTACATACATATTTACATACGGTAACCAGAGCACCCATGCCTAAACCATAATAACTTATAACGTTCGTGGTTCGAGAGCATACGGTAATCAGAGCATCCATGCCCAAACCATGATAACGTCCGTGGTTCGAGAGCATACGGTAACCAGAGCATCCATGCCCAAACCATGAT